GCCGCGCGAGCCCACGCCCCCCTCCCCCCCCCCTTCCAAGCCCCCTAGGGACAACCGGCAGAAGAGCCGCTCTGACGCCGACCGCGCGCATGCCAAGGGGGGCGAGGACGACAGGGCGGACCGCGAGGGCGCCTCGTCGACCCGTTATCGCGATAAGAAAAGAGAGGACCTTAAGCGTGATCATCGCAGCAGTCATCGACATAAGCGTCACCATCACTACCACTACGAGGAGCGTTTTCAGTCGCCGAACACCGGCGCGGATTATAGCTCGCATCGCTTGAACAGCGACAGTGGAAATGCCACAATAAGCAACAAAAATGATAACCCGAAAGATGAAAAATCCGAGGAAAATAAATCACACAAGCGTCACTGGCCAAATGATTCTCAAAGGGATTTGAGGCGCGATAGCCGATCGGAGCGCCATCACGAAAATGACCAAGATGTACACGAAAAAAAGAGAAGACGCAACGAGCGATAAATATATTGCTCCTATACCTCTCTCTGACGACCCTTTCTCTGTATAGACAGTGCACTAGTTTTTTTTCTAAGCGAATCATAGCTTTATGTTCTTGGACTTTACAATTTTTGAATCATTCATTCCGTCTAATACTGTACTGAATTTATTGGATACTTCACTAAAACAGCCTTGAGAGTTGACTAACGATAAGATCATAAAGGTTAAGCAAGACAGCATTGAAAAGAAAGATGAAGAAAATACGTTTTATAGTGCTAATCGGTTTGGATTCTTATTCCTTTCCTGTAATCGATACTTTCCTCCAAGTTGGCTTTTTGTTTTATTGTTAAGACACGCTTTTTTTGAAAATTTGTCTCCTTTTTTTTTGCGTGTATGTGTGGTGGTGGTGGTTGTGAGAAAAGAGGTAAATAACCATAATATTAACAAGAGCCTCAACTTTATAGAAATGTCGAAGGCAGTTCCAAGTGAGTCCCATCCCGTTGAACCCACTAAAATAGATGCACACATAGCTGAGGCTGCTGCGCCCACGCAGAGTTTAGACAGCGCCGACTTCGCTCTGGGCGCCGAAAGGGGTTTCGATGCGTTTCCTAAGACTTCAGGTAGCTTTATGTGGCCTGAAAAGCGTGGCTGTCTTATTGTGGCCTGTGTTCTTCTCTTTCAGGAGGTCGATCATAACGGGTTTCGTTGCGCTGTTGCGCTCTCTGCGTTAACAGCTTTGGTGGTAGAGCGCATCGGTGGCTTGTGCGCACTTCAGCGTCGTTTTCCTTCATGATGAGAGAAGGATAAAACAGGTCTAATGAGTAATAGTCAGGGGAGCATCAGTCGTTCTCACGACGCTTGAGTATCTGTGAACATAATACGACCGGTTCTATACTAAATTTTAATAATTTAGAATATACATGATCTTTGATTTCATGTTGTCCCTGTCAATTGAAAAACATTTAATTCTCCCCCTTTTTCTTTCTTTCCTCTGAATGCCCTGTCTTTTATTATCACAATGTCACGTTTAGCTTGTCTATCGGTTCACTTATCTTCCCCTGATTTTCCTAAATGAAAACTGTGGCCCTTCTCTCCGGTGGCAAGGACAGCGTCATGTCGGTGTTGTTGGCGATGCGGCATGGCCACACCCCCGTTGTCATCGCTAACATGGAGCCTGGGGAGGAGGTGGACGAGGTCGACTCTTACATGTACCAAACGGTCGGCCACGAGGTGATCGAGGACCTTGCTCGGTGCCTGGAGCTCCCCCTTCGCCGTTCAACGGTGGTGCGCAATCAGGCAAAAGACCAGTCCCTTCTCTACACCCACGCGCCCCCTGAGGACGACGAGGTCGAGGTGCTTTACCGCCTCCTCAAGACCATCCTGGTGGAGTTCCCCGAGGTGCGCGGGGTCACGAGCGGCGCGATCTTGTCGAACTACCAGCGCAACCGTGTGGAGTGCGTCTGCCAGAGATTAGGCCTTGTTTCCCTGGCTTACCTTTGGCATCAAAAGGCGGAGGATGTGCTGGATATGACGGTGGCTCTACATATGAGGGCTATTTTAGTAAAGACAGCCTCGGTTGCGCTTGATCCCCGGGTGATCCTCGGAAAGACGATCACAGAGGTTCGTCCAACGCTCGAAAAGGTGGCAAGCATGTATGGCACGCATATGGCTGGTGAGGGGGGTGAGTTTGAGACTCTCGTACTTGATTGCCCTCTTTACAAGTCTTACTACTTGCGTTTAAAGGAGCAGAAATTGGTGATGGTGGACTCGAACGAATATGCCCCATCTGCCCATCTTGTGCTCCGCGTTGAGCGAGTTGAAAAGACGGAGGAAGAGAAGCGTGTCGATGCAGAAGTTCTTCGCAGGTTGCTTAAGGGTGAGATTTCCTTTCCTTCTGATCGCACGGCCGTTTTCGCGCGTGTTGTGGAAAGGGCTCTCCCTTTGTGGACCCACGTAAAGCCCAAGGTCCTAATGCACGTCCCCCAAGTTGACGGTGGCATCGAAAGGTACTGGGATAAATCCTGCATTCAACTCTTCTTGACATCCTCCACCACACCAACCAAAAGCAGGGAGGTGGAATGTGTCGTACACGAATTTTTAGACCGCATCCGCGCTTGGTTGGGGGATGACAAAGTTTTGGTCCACATCATCGTCTACCTTCCCAATTTCATCGAGTTTGAAAGCGCATTTCGGTTGGCCTACGAGGCTGCCACGTCCTCAATTGATCCGCCTTGCTTTACCATGTTGGGAATTCGTAGTGAGCCCGGTGCGACGCCGTGTTTTGAGGTGCTTGCCGCGCCGAAGCCCAGTTCCGATGCGCGCACAGCCAACGCGGATGTTTTGCACGCGCAAAGCCGTAGCAGTTGGGCTACCGGGTGTGCAGGGCCGTACGCTCAGGCGCGTCGAGTAGCTTGGTCGGATGGGTCCTCTCGAGTGATTACGAGCGCGGTCTTAGGGCTTGTTCCAGAGTCCTGGACGCTTGCCAGAGCATCCGATCTCATGGGAATCGTCCCTGATAATGCTGCTGGGCGAGCCATGACTACCGTGACGAAAAGTTTTATCGCACAATTCATTTATGCAGTCTGGAGTGCTGCCGCATACGGATCTGTTTTTGCGAAGGATCTCTGTGAGTGTACGCACGTGACGGTTTATGTATGTGCCACGGTTCTTGAGGAGGGCGATGCCGCCTCCTTGATTCCTGCTTTATGGACATGCTTTTCGGAGAAGAAGTGGGAGAAGGTAAAGGGGCGTATCCTTACAGTGGTTGCGTTACCTCACAACGCAGCCGTACAGATTTTGTTGGAATGGTGTTCTGAGGCGAGCTCGTGAAATAGTCTAAACGAATTACACTGTAATGATTTACAGACTCTTCTTAAAAATTGACAACTCATTCAAAGAATTTTATACCTATTCGTGCCATTTAGTGTTTTAGCTATACGCATTAACCTGTTGCTTAGTTACTGTTACATTTCTTTTCGTTTAAACATTTCCGATTAGCCACACACAATTCTCTATTGAGATCATGTGTGTCCTAAGTTTAAATAAAATATTTTCTTTTTGAATTTTAATGATTCTTTAATATCAAAAATAAAATAAAAAGTAAACGATAATATGATATTGCTCCCGGAAAAGTTTAAGCACGCCGTTTACATTGTCTTCATGAGGAGATTACTTCTTAAAAAGGAACTGTATCTTTTGTTAAGCTACCGTATATTATTATTATTATTATTATATATATATTTTTTGAAAGGCATTGGTTTTGCATCTTCTTTTTTATAATTTATAGAAAGTAAAGCTTAAGTGTTCTTTCTTTATATATCCAGAAAAATTAACATACAAGACGTAAAGTGAGGAGATAACTACAACAGAAGCTATCCCTCAATCTTAAAACTTGTCTAAAGACTTTTAATCCAATTTTTTTTCTACTCATTATGTTCGATTCTACATCACCATGCGTTTATGTTAATGGTGTAAGGCTTCCTTTAATGGAGGATTACCGCTTTCCATTGTATCATTATTTCCCCGAAGGGACGGCCTTGTTCGATCCAAGCTACATCCCACCCATGCGTGTACCCTTGGGCACTGCCCCTGAGCACTTCGGCGTCACGCTGCGCAAGCTGCTTCCCTTCGGTTCCTATGAGGCATACCAGGAGGACCCGACCACGGGCGCCCTCCACCCGAGGTCGATGAAACCCGTCTGCTTGTATGTCAGCAATTTGCCCTCTAATGCGACGCCCGAGATGCTGTGCAGTTTCTTTGAGAACTTCGACCAGGTCGAAGAGGCGGATGTGTTGCGCGGTCGCGATGGCCGTTGCGACGGCCGTGGCTGGGTGGTCTTCAAAGACCCCGCCGCCTCTCTCCGGGTGCCCCGCACCCTCGAGTTCTTCACGGGCCGAGTCATTTATGCCGAGCCTGGGGACCGGGACCCGGCCCCACCACATCGCTACCCGCCGGTGGCGCTGGGCGATCCTCACAGGGCGAATGGGGCCTCCGAGCGGCCCGCCGCCGCGCCGGAGGCGGCAAAGCCCCCTATCAGCCCCAGCGTGCCCCTTCCGCGCAGCCGGAAGCTCACGGGGACGCCTTCCCCCCCCCCGCTCCCCCTGGGCAAGGGCGTTGGGGTGGTCCCGGTTGGGATGGGAACGCCGGAGGGGACCCGGGCCTCCTCGCCCAGTTCCCTGGCAACCGCGGATACCGCCTACGTGACCCTCCACCTTTCCGAGGCCGAGGCCGAGGTTGCCGTGCGGGAGAACCAACTTTGGCTCTTCCCCGAGGTCTTCCAGGCGATCCATGGCCTGGCCCAGTCCGTGGTGGTCCTCGTGCTCCTTCACAGCGACGTCTTCTTCGGCTGCGCACATCTCCTCCCCTCCCCCCCTTCCCCTGTCGGCGGGCTGAGGGCGTGCCCCGTCAGATGGATCCAAAAGTGCCTGTCACTGCGGGAGGGCGTCCTGCGGAAGGTAGGCGGGCACGGCATCCTGAACCTTACCGACGGCTCATTGGTGAAGCCGGAGCTCGCCATGGCGATTTGCAAGCTGACGAACGCGCAGCCGGTGGACAGGGGAAGCGGCGGTCAGCCAAGCCCGCCGTATTCCCCCAACAGCCACGGCGGTTGGTCCGAGGCGTCGGGCAGGGGCCGAAGGAGCGAGGTCTTTCCGGTTAGCCCACAGGGGCGCGGCGTCGGGAGGGCAGGCGGCTTTTTTCGTGAGAACGCCTCCAGCAGAGCGGTACCGGAGCCGCGCAGTAGCCGGCGTGGGCCATATCCGCTCCCTATCCACGCCAACGTCGTGACCGCGCTGTCCACGCACAGGGGAAGACTAAGCATTCCGACCCCAGCCAGTCGACGCGCGCAAGTGGTGACTATGCCGCAGAATACCGAGACCACGGTGGATTTTCTCAGCAAGTTATCCGGAGAGGAGCCCGGTGCGGCTTTATCGGAGCAACACAGCAGTTTTGATAAGGAATCCAAGTTCAACAAACCAAAGAAGGAAGCACACACAAGTTAACCTTTTTAGAGTTGATAGCATCAAACTTTTTTTTTGATGGAATTTAATTCATCGGGCCATTCATCTAAAAGGGTGGATGAAGTCGGGGAGGGGGGTGGGAAGGGGAGGGAGTTTTTTTCTTTTTGAAAGAGACTTTAAAGGGAGGAAAATAGGGAAAAACGTTTGGTTATTACAAAATTTCCATCATTTTTTTTTTTAAGTAAACAAGATAGGTTTATCCACATTTTTAATAGTCATTTCACAGCATCTAGGTTATATGTGTTTGGACACAGTGACATCTAAATATCTGGCTCTTCCATAGGAGTGCTTGAATGAAATATTTTGAGTCAAAGCTCTTTTAATTCATAGAGCGATGGTGGAACTTGGGAGTTTTGGAAAAGGAGATGTTTCTTTTGTACTGATTCTAACTAATCTTCTTTACTCATTCGTCCTTAGTGATTCCCCTATATTTCTGTGTATGGGTGTAAATTAATGTGCGTTTATTTGGGAAATTCAGTAATTGCTCATGTAGTTCACATTTTATTCTTAAACTATTCTAAATAAGTAAGCATGTAGAGCCGAATTTAAATGCCACTGCATTCTCTGCCTTTTTTCAAAAAACTTTTCCTATTCTTTTGCTAGTTGCGCACCAAAAGGCATTTTTAGAACATTTCGGCTTGACAACGCATAATACATTTCATCTGCTTGATTTGTGCTTGAGGTAAAATAAAGGTGGAAATTTTACCTTGTGTATTTCCTTTATGTTACGCACTTTTTTTTTTTTTTTTTCTGATAAAATAGTTCTCTTATATTTTCAATAATATATTTTCATCAAGTTTGTACAATTATCGAATAAACCTTTGCTTTAACATCTCTTCAACTAATAATATCTCCTTATTTTCTGGAAATCAGATCGGATTCGGCACTGAAGGTACTCAACAGGTAATCCAAGAATATCATATGCCTAACTTTCCAAAGAAAAATTACAAGGAGAAATTATCATCTCCGTTGTTCGGCACAATTCCGCAGCTCAACATTGGCTCTAATAGGATCGAGGTTAACGAAACCAATGTGCAATTGTTCACGCCAATGTTACAAAACTCTGTGCACGACCACAATGTTTCATTAAATGCATTTCCAACTTCCCAAATTTCTACGTTGAATGCTCCACAATATTTATCACCCATTGCCCACACTAAGAGGGCTATCTCTCAACCAATGGCCAATAAATTTGATTTATGTCGGGAAATGAATTTTAAAATCCCACTTTATAACGCTACACCACCACCACCTAAATATGAATTGTGTGGATTTGCTAATCATCAATATGGAGTAAACCTATTGGATAATGAAGGGGTATCACGCAACAAAGGGAGCAATACAATCGTTGAGCCAAATAACTTCGTCATGCACACTCAGAGAGCTCAGAGCAACCAGTTCAATCCCGATTTGAACGGCATACCGATTTCAAGACACGTTGTAATGCTTCAGAATAATCTTAAGGAAGCATCACGCCGTTTGAATGATCAAAGTCAGACTTTTATGAAGCGTGAAAAGGATCTACTTACTATTATTGATAAGCTTCAACAGAAAGTCCAAGTGAAAGATCTGGAGATGCAAGCCATCAAGAATGAGCTACTCTCTACTAATGTTCAGATGGAGAATATGCGTCATGGGCAGAACCTCTTGCAAACTTTTCACAACGAAGACAAACATTTTTTCTATGATTCCCTCATTAAATTTTTCTTTTCCTTAGAGGAGGCCGCACGCAAAGAGTATATTGCGGAGGAGTTGAGTTTTCGCTTCCAATTTTACTTTTGGATATCGAAGGCGTTCACGCATAAGCAGAATCACATCTATCCTCTCTCCATCTTTCCTGACGACAACGAAGAGTGTGGTCAACTCGTCGAACATGTATCGAGGCATTTTCGCGATTTAAGTAATTCATGTTTAAGGTCCCCTAACGGTGATGACAAGATCCTCAACGCTTCTCGCCCGACAGAATCCAATCAAATATCGGTAATGTATTGTGAGTCCACACCGGTGGCAAGTCTGGCAAATGCAAATAATCAACTCATTCAGAATTTAACCGAGGAGAAAAGCTTAAGAACAAACCTGCAGGATGCACTTCATTTCTTCGTTTTGACGGAACATTTCCTGTGTGAGAAGACTGAGAGGGCTGTTATCGAACACGATGCCCTTACGGGGTATTTATCTCTTATGATGACTTTCTTTAACATGAAGCTGGAACACAATACGCCTTCACCGTATCCATACCCCATGCGGACGCTACGCCCTTTTACTCATGATATTTACCAAAACAATACTGAAATATTGCGCGGGATTAAGACGTGTAATAAAAAGCCAATCCATGTGCCCGTTCCCATCGGTGGTGCTGTGTTTTAGTGAATTCCGTCTGCTAAAGGATATTTTCATAATTTTAACGGCAGCTCGGCTCGTTGTGTACTAATAAAAAGGATTTGCTTGAGACCGTCACGCAGCTGAAGACGGAGGTGAAGAAGCAGGGGAATGTCCTGAGGGAACTTATCTCATGTCCTACGGGTAATTTCCAGATGGAGTATCGAAAAGTAGATAGGAGGGTATGTGAGCCCCCATTATCGTTTTATTTAGCGGTAGATACGTCTACAAGACCTACCTTTACGTAGCAATCACAGTCTTTTTGATTGTGCTAAAAAGTTTTAGAAATGCAGGGGATCACCCCCAATATTATAATAAAGACCGCTAATCATTTGCTGTTGTTCTAGGAATGTCTTGGGTTTTACAGAAGGTTTGATCATAGCAATCATTGCTAGAGGCGTTTCTTCGCAGAAACGTTCCCAAGACGAGTTCCATACCTGTCATTTTTTGTTTAACAACAACGACCCTGTAGAGGTCGGTGATAAGGCGCTAGGAAATAACGGCGGTATTAAAACGATTAATATTTTCACTATGATGTGAGCTATCATTTAGATTCCACACATATTTAACAATAGGGTAAAGAGTATATAGGGATTCTTTTTATTTTTATTAATATTTATATACCCCCCAAAGAATTATTTTTGGTCATTATGACCTAATCACACCCCTCAATATGTTTATATTAAGTATATATTGAAAATAGAACCTAATACGATAAAGATGTATTACTTTACTTTAATGATTTATATATTATGAAGAAATTTCATCCTCGCTATATTAGGTTCCCGCAGTATCGTCTCCCCGTCCAGATCGACGTGTCCAAAGGAGAAACGCGTCGTATGAGATGGAGTTTTGTACTGTTGTTCTTGGCCTGTTACATTTCTATTCACCCCTGTTGTGGGCTTTGTGTTGTTCTTGGCCTGTTACATTTCTCTCCATCCCTATTGGGGTCTTCTCTCAGACAGGTTAGGAATAGGATCTCTCGTCCCCGTTACACCGCCTTTTGTTCGCGTGGGGATGAAACGTGGGGGGGGAACAAAACGGCAGCGCAGAGTCAGCCCGCCGCGTGAAGGGAGGGCCTCGCGTGGTGGGCGGGTGGAGGACATCGGCCCATACCTTGACGAGGTCCTCCAGAGCGCCAGCCTCGTCGGCGCGGGCGTTCTAAACGCGGTGGTGGAGCGTTGGAAATGCGCCGACGCCGCACTCTACCGTTGTCATGCCGAGAGGCGGGCAGTCGAGGGGCAGGCGGTGCGGCTTTTGAATCAACTCGCGGAGCCTGGGGCGTGCGCGGGGCCTTCCAATCTCAATTGCCTCCTCGCGGAGCCCGACGCGTGCGCAGGCGAGGCTGTGGCGGCCGTTTCGGATCGCGTGGCTGCAGCGCTTGACGACGCCCTGCGCGGCCTTGCCAGGCGCTCGGCTGGAGCACGTGCGCTGGCAACGGCGGTGGGTGACGAGGCCGCGCGATCCCTCGCAAGTGCGATGTACGAGGTGGAGTGTCTTTCCCGGCGCCTGCTCGATGTGCAGCTCGCGGCGGCTGCGGGCGAGGTGGAAGCTTCGGGTCTGCGCGCGCGTCTGGCGGAGGCCACCCAGCAACGCCAGGCCTATGTGGCAGAGGTGGGTGGGCTGTTGGGAGTCCTGCGGGCCCTCGCAACGCGCGTAGGCTCGGGAAGGTGGCAGCAGCAGGCTGAGAACCAGGAGTTCGTGAATATAAAGAAAGAGGAGGAAGAAGAAGGGGTGACGGAGCAGCTGCGACGGGCGTTGGTGCAGGCTCAGAGCGGGGTCGCAGTGGCCCAAAAGAGGCTGCTTGAGGAGCAGCACTGGCGGGAGCGCGCGGAGGGGCGCATCGCGGAGATGCTCCGCCAGCCTCACTGCGGCGGCCCCAGCGGCGCGGTTGCGGAGCTTGGTCGGCTCCGCAGTAGCCTCACGGAGGCCCTTGACGACGCCGCCCAGCTCACAGTTTCGCTGAAGCTCGCTCGCGAGGAGCTGGCGGGAACTAATACTGAGCTTGATGCCCTGCGCACGAAGAACGAGCAGCTGTTAAAGGCTGTGCACGCGGATCAGGTTGGTCGTGCCGTGACGGAGCTCAAGCGGGTTTACGATGAAACTACTCAAAGTTTACGCGAGCGCTTCGTGGAGGCGGAATCCCAGCGGGGAATTCTCTCCTCTGCATTGGATAAATCCCGTGAAACGGTCAAGGAGCTGCAGGAGGCTTCTGCACAGGCCAAAGCGAATTACAAGGAGCTTGACTTTCTTGAAAAGAAGAACCGCGATCGGCATCATGATTTTTCGAATGCCCGTTCGAAGATTCTGGAGTTCATGAAGTCGATTGGAAAGCTTTTGAAGGACGAGAATGCTGTGATGGAAGGCAAAGTGGGCGAGCTTACGTTGATCAATAGCCAGATAACCTCAAAGCAGGCGGAGTCGCTTGGGCATTTTCAAAAACAGATCCACGACCTCTTTCAAGGCTTTCAGGAGGTGCTTTCGGACGATAAGGCAAGCACGAGCGCTGAAGCTGAGGATGACAACCGAAAATGCCATGATGAGGCACTGAAGGAGAAGAGTCTTAACTTCTGTTTCGGGGAGGAGAAATATGGCCTTCTGCTTCAGGTGCTTCAGAGTGCCCTTCAGTTCGTTGGTTCGCATCTGGAGAACGGGGATACTCAACGCGCAGGGTTACTGGAGGCCTCCCTAGCCGATGCGGCGCTTGTCAATGACCTGCGCTCGAGGCTACATCAGATCACACAAGACCGCGATCGACTATCTCGAAAGCTAACGAAATGTCTTAACATAATTGACCAGAACAGCCTGACGGTGGTGGAGAACGCCTTACTATATGAAGTACCCGTAGAAGACTCGTTGAGTGCGGCCGAGGCGGCCGAGCACATTGCCTTGCTGCGGGAGCAGCTTGACGTCGCGGTGCGGACACAAAAATGGGGAGTGAAGGATATTGAGGACTGGAAAAAGGCCAAGGAGAGTCTCGAGGCGGAGGTGAGGGAGGTACGCTATGCAAGGGACATCGCCGAGAAGCAATTACTGCAAACCGATCAAACCCTTTTGCAAAGCCTGGAGCGCGAAAAAGAGATGCTGGTGCAAAATATGGCTCTCCAGTCCCAGATCACCACCCTGGTCTCTTCATCCTTTCTTAGATCCGGCCCAAGTGAAACGGGGGATAACTCCGCTTCAGCGGAATTATCGATGGAATGTGCGCCGAATTTTACCCCCTCCCCTCCCTTTGCGCAGCTCCTCCAGCAGGTCTCCGCGCAGTTCGCCAGCATTGAAAAGTCGATTGCCGATCTTAACGCGCAGCGAAAGCAGCGCGAGGAGGAGCTAAAGGATCCCTTAGAAACCGTCTCCTTATCTTGCCCCTCCGCTGAGGAAATAACGGAGATAATTGCGCAGGGCGGGATGAATGTCATGGTGGAGTTGTTACGTAAGGCGATGATGGGCGTGCAGGAGCTGCGGGAGTCAATTTGCCGATTCTCTCTTCAACACAAATCAGAGCTCTCGGCGATAATTCATCCGGACGTTCAGAGCCCTGAGGCCGCGTTGCTGGCGGAAAAGGAGCGCTGTGACGCGTTTGAGAAGGAGTTAAACGCGCTGAAAGAAGAGAAGGAGGTTATCCGGCAACGCTTGCAGGTCGCCGAGGAGGGGATGGCTAAATCAGAGGAAACGAATCACCGCATTTTATCCATCTCGAAGACCCTGATGGAGCGTCAGAATCGACTGCTTGAGGAAAATAAACAGCTTAAATCTAAGTGCGCCCCCCCCAGCCCCGCGACTTCTGAAGTACCGCAAGTTTCTGCAGTGTCGGTGGAGGATTTGACGATTTTCATAACGGAAGCGCCACCGCCTACTGAGCAGCCTTTGGAAGGCGAAAGAGAAGAAGCATCGATACGAGATGAGACGATGAGTATTTCAATCTCACACTGCGAAGATGTCAACGAGGAGCTCCCCTCCCTCCCGCTTCCCCCCTGTTAGTACTGAGCATGTCTCATAATGTCACCTCGTAGACTCAGAAGACATTTTTTTATATTCACAGTTCAGGAGGTTAAAAAGAAGGAAGTTAAAGGTGGCATTAGTGAGAGAAAGAGCAGTGCCTACAGTGATTATGCTTAATGATTTTATCCATTAGGGAATCATCAATGGGATTACCGAAATAATAATTCTAGAGGTTGCTTTTTCGTTTTAAAATCCAGAGAGAAATTATTTGAGAAAAAAAGACACACATAACGCGTTTACTGTAAAGAAATAAGAAGGTTACTTAAGTAACGTTTCCACTAGTTACCTTTGATGAGTCCTCGATGTTTAGATGTTAAGACCAGTGTATGTGTTGGTAAGTTGGGATGTGAAAACGTATGTTTAGTGGTTCATTTTTACAAATTTGGAAAACCCGAGTTCATTGGGTTATACCTTATTTATTACTAGTAGCATTCCTATTTAATGCCTCTTGTACTTACCCCATATTGCCTTTTATTTGTAGGTGTTCCAAACAAAAAATTCTACCAAGGGTAGAATTATTCACAATATTATTCTAGTACACCAAATTTGTAGATTCTAATTGAAAAGGGGGAGGCCGTTTTATTGCATCCGCTCGATTTGATAAAAAATGACTGACCACAAATCTAATGTGAAGGAATGTGATATTAGTATCGAGATGCAGACCGACGCCTTAGAGGTTGCGATAAAGGCAGCCAAAGAGCATCAAATGGAAAAGGATATCGCGGGGCGGATTAAAAAGGAGTTCGACAGACGCTACTGTCCCACCTGGCAGTGTATTGTAGGGCGTACCTTCGGGGCGGATATCGCGTACGAGGCTAAGCACTTTATCTTTTTTAACATCGGGCAGCTTTCGGTGTTACTTTGGAAGACCGGCTAGCGAGAGATGCCTTTTGTTCTTTTGCATGACGTGAGCGGAGGGATTGTGGTGGTGGGTGGTAAAGAACGACGTGTGTGCACGACAATCGCAGCTTAAAAAAAGGATGGTCGTAAAACATGACCAGATTTGTATTGATATATGTGTTTCTGGTCTAGACGATGTATATAAAACCATGTTAAGATGGTTGTACCATGGAGAAAATGGGGTTTTATAATTCATAGTTTTCCTTGAAGGCGATGGGATTGTTAGGGTTCTGAAACATATGTGATGTAATAATTCCAAAAGTTAATTTTGCCTTATTTATCCCTTTTTTTATCATAAGTTTTCCCTACCATATAAATGGAATAACATTCAGGATTTATGTGACCACATGATGAAAATTAAAGCGACGGCAGTATTGGATGTGAACTCGCGTCATCGACTTTGTCGTCATTGGCACCAAAGGTGGATGGAATACTCGCAGATAGCATGAGGAAGACATCTTACTACCCCTTTCCAATTGAAAGGAAAATTCTTCTATAACATTGGTGGCTTTTGTTTTCAAACTGTTCAACACCGTCGTCATTTTGACTCCTTTCGTGAGTTTAAGAGTGGCAAGCTTTGTTATCCTTCCAGGCTCCCTGTTTAGGAGCACAATTTTTTTTTTTAACCAACAAAGTAGCCTTTGTTTCAAAGGGAATGAAATCGGCACAACGAGAAAGTGTTTGATAGTGCTATCAATTTTTCTAGTTTACGCACTCCTCCAACTTAAAGTGGCTTTTCGATTCAGCTTGCATCTCTTACACCTACATATATATAATAAAAGCAGCTTTCCTTACTTAGGATAGTCTTTCCTATATTTGAATTTATCCCTTCTCCCCCTCCTCTTCCTCTCATTTATAGTTCTTCCGGTTCTTTTCGTTAGTGTATTTGATAGTTCAAAGTTCGGATGAAAGGAAAATTTTAATAAAACATTTTTTGAAAATCATTCATTAAGAAACATCATATCTATCAATAACTTAACATGAAAAGAAGAAGATTAGATAGCGAGGATGATGAGGATGAGTACATGTCGTTTGCGGTTCAAGGGGAGAGGGAGCAGCTGGAGCCTTTCGCCGCCACCACGGGCTTTCATAACGTTATGCACGAGATGGGGTTGGAGCTTTCCTCCTCATCCACCTCAATAAGATCCTTAGAAGAAAGCAATACTAATGAAAACGAACGGTATCCCTCACAGCAACCTAAACCCTTAAGGGAAGATTCGTTTACCAGTACTTCTCCGACTGAAAAAGGCCGCTCGGAGCGTGTACGGTGCTCTCAGGTAGAGGACGACCTTGACATTCCTTCGGAATGGATAGGGCTTCTGTCTGATACGTTGTTGGCAGTGTACTACGTCCCGCTCACCTACATCCAGGGCAATCGACCGATGGATGATAAATTATTCGCGCAGTACATCCCTTTTAACACTTCTCTTGCTGAGGTTCCTCCTACTTCGGTCGTCGGGGGAGCAAACGTGGAGGAGGTTGATCCGAACCCGACCAGCATTTCTTTTGCGAACAGTCATTATCAAAATCCATATGGTATTGCACCTGGGTGGCGATGGGATGGTGTGATTCGAGGTCGGAAGAAAACGTAATAACTCACTGTCAAGGGCTTTCAAATTAGTCTAGTTTTTTTTCGTAATAATGCTTTCTTATACACAAAAGACAGAAGACAGTGTTAATATCCTTTCCTTCGGATCTTACCAAATATTGATTTTTTTTTGAGGAATAGTGATAGGAAGTATTTACAAAGCACAAAAGTAGGTAAAAAATATTATTGCCTTTTAGTGATGCATGTCTCTGGTTGAGTAACTTGTCCATTATTCTATATTTTCTATAATAATGCCGTTCACCTCTTTTTATTCCTATGAACAAAAATGGTAGTGTGTTATGAAGGGGGACATTGCAGATCGACAAGTTTGTTCAGCGAGTATTTTTTTTACCAAGGGTACACTATTTTATAAATGAGGATGCGTGGGGATTGGTGGATAACATCAAAGGATTGTAAATTTTCAAGCACTACAATCTAGAATCCTATCCATCATATTTTATTCATCACAACAAATAATACCATCATTATTGTAATCAATCTTGTGTTGTGAAGGATATTTTCGAGTTTTAAGATGAGTTTCTAACCCGAGATTCACTCATATTGATACTGTTACGTCGTTACGGGAGCCATCTTCTCAAAATTCAAATCCATTCTTTACCAATAATGAAAGAGAGCTGTCTAGAGTACGAGTGTCATGGATTTAGTGATAATAATAGTTATTTTTCAAAACTATATGATTGATGGGTTTATGGCACTAAGGGTTTCAAGCGTATTTTTGCTTCCTTCAGAGAGATAAAGCCAAGGATTCCGTTCTAGAACTTCGCCAATACCATTCACAAGTAGGTGTGCAGAGATAGTTGAGGTCGATGGGTCATGGTGTGCTATCCCATTTTGATCTTTAATATAGACAGAAAAAAACGTCGCAGACCCATTTCTTTTAACCCAAGAGCAGATAATCGATCCACTTTTCGATGACTTTTCGAGCGATGCTCGGTTATACGGTTTGTGAGCTAAAACCCATCAATGAGGTTTATCCACAGTTTAGCTGATGTCATAGGCTCCTTGTGAATTTTCTCTGGAAAAGTTCTCTAGATACTTTTTTTTTTTACATCATGTAGTGCCCTTTGTATCTTTTTATTATCATCTTGGCTTATTGTGGATTTTTTTATTTTGGTTGTATTAATATTTCGAAAACCAAATGAATACAGACAACAGAAGGGACGAAATACCCTCCTCAATATGCACTCAATGTCAATGCATCTCAGTTTTACTCTATCCTTTCGTGTGCGCACAATAGCAGGCCACCTTGTGGCACGCACCCTAAGCAGTGCCTACTTGGTATCCTGTCTGTATCTTTCCATCTTTCTTTAATCACCTAGTTGTATAGTTCGATAGACCGATCCTCCACATTTAGCAGGTCCATCCCCAGTGGGTGACACGCCCTTGATCTTCCCTGTTGAGATGTCGATCAGCGATGTTTGCAATGCCATCGCGGCGATCGACAAGGACACGACCGACGGCGAATTAACCGCCATCGCGGCGAGGTGCGAGGCCCACCTAGGCAGCCTCGCAGGGGTGCTCGACGCGGTGGAGAACACCCTGGCTTCCTCCATGGGGGGGCAGCGGCTCAGGCTGTGGGGCCTTGTCGACCGCCTCGCGAAGCAGCACCCCGCGATCCTGGACGCCCTTCGGCCGAAGGCGATCGCCCTCGCGACGCACTACGCCCCAAGGCCCATGGACGCCGAATGGGGCGCCTTCCGGGCCCTCGCCGAGGCCTCTTTTGAGGTCCTCTTCGGGGCTCCCATGGGGGCCCTCCTGCGG